AAGCCCTCTGATTCCAAAATTCTTTTCAAGATCTCCCTGCACACCCCTGACAGCTACGGTTTAGGCATTTGTTAGCATTTTTATAAATCCTTTATGCTCAAAATTAATTTGGTCAAGTTGCATTCTAATATCCTTGATATCTGAAACAATAATTTCATTCCTAAGTGGACTAGCTTATATTAACAATGAAAACAAAGGTAAAACTGAATATTATAATGAATAGAATAGAATTCATATGACATTTAGCTGTGTACCAATTTTTATTTTGCTGCTCAATAAATAAATTTAAATTATAAAGGTTGTAGATGTACTATAACTGATAATTTTGCATCGCCAAACTTTTTCTTAGGTTTTATCTATCATTAGTACAGATTTCAAGTTTTTTTTTTAGCCTTAATTGAGTTTATTGGTCCATTTTAGGGATACAGTACAGTTACATTCATTGTTGGGATCTTGTACCTCTACATGACAAGTCTTGATTCTCATTTTTCCCCCTTGTCCCTGCCCTCCCTTCACCCCCTCCTCCCCTCCCCATCTACAAACACTTTATTTCCACCTTTTCATTATCTCACATTTTTTTCTTTGCCCTTATTACCCTTCCCCTACCCATCCCACCTTCCCTACACCTTTAGCTCCTTTCTTCCCATTTCTCAATGTCAGTAGAGATTTCAAGTTTTAACAATAGCATTTATTACATAGCTATTATCATCATCATCACCAATATAATCACTTTCACACTGATGCTGATGCATCAGAAAAATTAAGTCTGAAATTCTTGCACCGACTCCTGCCCCACGCCCCACAGCTGCTGTCACTTATGCTCATGACCCACCAGTGTGCATCAGCACAACCTGAGAAGTCTTTGAGCAGCTTGATGTTCATTTAGCTGTACACTACCTGATGTCCTAGGAGCACTGGGACACACAGGACTTTCAGGACTTAGGAATTTGGGCATTGAAGTCATAGCTTACCCATCTTGGGATGCTAGTTCAATAAGTACAGACAGGGAGAAAGTGGTGGAAGATAAATTGAGGAATGTTTCTGTACCCTGGCTCTTAATAATCTGAGAACAGAGAGCTCAGAAGAGACTTGCATTAAAGAACATGAAAACACACTGTTAATTTAGACTCTTTAGGAATCTAAAAGACTACAGCTATTTTATCCTCAGGGTCAGTATTAAACTCAGTTTAATTCAGGAGTGAAGCAGACACTTGTTAGAAAATATTTCTAACCATCCATGCCTATAATTATTTTAGGATTCACCAAGAAACACTTGATTCCACAGTGAAAAAAAATAGAAGAAAATACTAATACTGGAGAGAGTTCACCAAAAGAATAAGTGGAAATTGTAAGCAGATTAATAGAATTCTAGGTCTGGGCCTTGGAGATCAATTATAGCAAGATCTTCATTTTCTAATGAGCCCTTTGAAATCCAGAGAAGCAATATTATAAGTATATTGCATAGTAATTTATTAAATCTCAAAACCCTGAAACCTGAAATAAGCGTGAAATTTTAAAGAGATCATTTTAGGACAAAAATAATGAATGCAAATTTTGTGTACTGATGAGTTAATTCAGTTGAACTTGTAACCCTGAAAATGCCTTAGAAAAACAAAGGTTTAGGTAACCGTGAAATGATAGGTGGTCCAGTGAATTTTTAGAGAAATCTGGTAGTATTTGAGGATGATATTATGACATACTCAACAGACCTCTGGACAGGAATCAGAATATGTGGGCTCTCTTCCATTTCACTAACCCTCCGTATGGTCTTCAACAAGATAATGAACCTGTGGGTTTCCCCTAGACAACGGAGTGTAAAAGAACTGAAAACATCATCTCTAAAGACCCAAATTCCACACAATATCATGGAATCCCACTATCTGCAAATGTTTTGTGGCTCTTGATACAAACATTACACGAAGCATTTCCTACCATTTCAAAAAAAAAGCTTAGACCATTTCAGTACTATCATTTTTTATCAGACTGAGTTATCATGTAACGGATCCTAAAAGGTTGCATAATATAAATCTCTGACACCAATTTAATATATATGTTATAGAGTAATAAAATTCTAATAAATGATGAAAATATCTCATAATAGCAATATGAATAATAAGCTTACAAATTACAGAACTGGTTTGGAAAATTTTCACAACTAACATTAAAATTCAGGATGTTTTAAAACTTCCTCTCCAGTTAAGTGTATTTTCTTATCAACACAAACTGTAAGCAAGACACTGTTTACCTGCTCTTCAAATACCTAGTCAATTAAAGCATTTTTTTAGAAATAAAACACTCCTTATAGAATCAAATCATACCAGGAAGCAGAAGAGGATTCTTAATGATTTCCTGAACCACAGAGACAAAGTATTTCCATAATGGACTTCAGGAAGTTGACCTTACCTGAAATATTTCACTTCCTTTGTTCATCCCTGTAGACCCACAACAGTACAGTGCATGCTCAACTAACTACTACCTCCTATTCCAGAAACAAGAGCAGACATAATTTTCCCTCTGGACCATAGGTTTAGTTTAGCCTGAACAAAAGGATTTTTTTTTTCTAAGACTAAAGTCTAATTTTATACCATTTCTTCAAAGACTGAGTATTAGTCATTACAATACTCAACCATCTGGAAAAAATAATAATTGAACAAGTGTGAAAGTCTTTTTAAAAATAAATCATTCCAAGTTAAAAGAAAGTGAATGGGTTTTTCTCTTTTCTGTTAATTTATCTAGCAATATTAAAGTTATAAGAACATTCTTTTCAATCAAGCATCTGACCTCCCTGAAGACTGACCCACTCCCAGACATTTACCAAGAAATAGTTCAGACTTTTGGTTTTCTTCACTTAAAGTTTCAAGGTAAAACCCTTCCATTGATTTTTATGTGTGACTCTGATTAACTCCAGTGGGAGTCCTGCACACAACTAGTTCAAATTGATCCCTAGTTTAGCAGTTTATGCCCCTTCTATAGAGATATTTTATAGTTTCCAATTTTCAAGTCATTTATTTCTGTCATTTACTCAGATCTTCAGAGCTTTCTCCCTATCTCCTCTAAGATCTGAAAGTGTAAATTTTAAAACTTGGATAAGACATTTCTAGTTGTAATCTCAACGCATTGCTTTAATGTACAGCTCTTATGGATTCAGGTGCACAGAAGATACATAACACTATTACTATCACTGACTTTCCAAAAGAGAAATTTTAATAATCTTGGGAATAAATCATAGTGTATAGCAAGTCTGTGAATGACAACAAGTACTTCCATACTTTTGTTCTATTATCAAAAGAGACAAATACAATTTGTTCTTTTCACAGTTGGGAATTGTGTCTTCAAGTAACAAAGTCTATAAATTAATATCCCACTTATTAAGCCTCCTTGAAGAAAAGTTTCAGTGTTTGTTACATTATCTTCTGGAAGATATAAAAGCTCTAAGTTGGCTTCCCTGTTGCTTTGTTGGCTGCTTTTCATTGTCACAAAATAGAGTACCTCTATTCTCTTGCCCTCACTCTATCTCTCTACCAGGATGAACAGAGTATAGACTTTGGTTCATGGTTTATTCCCTGGAACTAGGAGTTGTGAATAGCACTCTAACTTCCTTGCTCACATTTCAATCATGAATTTTAACAAATTCAGAGTTTTGTTGAACTCTGAATGAAGTAGGAGAAAATAACATAGAGAAACCAGTCAGTAGTTTCTATAGCTAAAAGTCTTTATTCTATGACAACAGAAACATTTATCTGTTATTTTGGATTAGTCAGGTAAAGTACCAGACAAAACTACAGAATGTGTGTGTGTGTTTGTGTGTGTGTGTATATAGAGAAGTCACACCAAGAATGATAAGCAAGAGGTTGGGTCAAAACATATGTTTAGGTTTAAAAAATTTTATTACAGTAAAAGACACACTGCTGTTAATTGCCCTAAATATTCAAAATACACCCCCTTGCTTAAAACAAAATTATCCCATCATTCTTAGCAATATGTTTTACAGTAATAAGAGGGTTTAAAACATTTTTAAATGTTTTCTATATTTTTGATCCCCCTTGTATCACCTTTTATATGTGGAATCTAGAAAAAAAATGACAATAGGAAAGTAGAAGAAAAGAGGAAGAGGATGAGGGAGGGTGTGGGGTAATGAATAGCGGATAGGTAAGATCAAAGTGTCTGAATTTGTGAATATGCCACGATAAAATTCATTATACTTAGTACATGCTAATAAGAAATTTGAAAATAAATTGAATCCACATACACAAAAGATGAAAAATGTTAAAAGTATGCCATAGAAAATCTACATTTGAATCAACAAATTCTAATAGGCAAGAAAATACTACATAAACATGTGGCACAGATGAGAATTCAAGTAGTAATTTCACAAGAACAATCTAATAAATTAAATTATAGTACTAAGTAATATACTTGCAACATTATTTCCAATGAACTCAATAAAAATTTCCAGTTAGTAGTATCAAGCATATCACATTGGGGTTCCACTCCTAAGTACAGTTACAAAATAAATATTTATTCATGTATTCTCCAGCGAAATTTTTATACATTAATATTTATAGCCGCATTACTCCTACTTGCCACAAAATAGAAAAAAAAATGTCTATCAACTGGTAAATGGATGAACCAAATGTAATGAATTTATAAAATAAAAAGGTATTCAGTGATAAAATACAACTAGTGAAAATTTAAAAATTGAGATGAACCTGAAAACATTACACTAAGTAAAAGAAGTTATATATGCAAAGCCACATATCACATGATATCATGTACAATATATGAAATTTCAGAAAAGAAATAATTGTAGAGTTCTTCAATGGTGACCCCAGCTTGGAAATAGGAACAAAGATTAACTACAAATAAACATTACAGAAATGTCTTGGCTTGATGATAGTGTTCTAAAACTGGATTGTAGTGAAAGTTGCATGACTATATACATTTACTAAAAAGGATTGAATTATTTACATTGACAGGATTGTATGGTATATAAATTATACCTCATTAAAACTGAAAGCTGTCTACCTCCTTCCCCCGAAAAGGTAATGTGACTTCTACACACTGGTTCTTCTCTCCCCACCACCACCACCCCCGTCTCCATCTTCTTTGCTTTGGAACCAGCCATTATGACATAAGAAAGCCCATAGGTGTTCCAATCAAAATCTGTTTTCAGTTGACAACCAGTACCAACTGCCACTTTCTAAAGTTCACAAGTCTCTTGAGGATTTCTCCCCCAGATGAGGATTCAAACACCATGGAGCAGAAATAAAGCCTCCTTGCTTTACCTTGTTTGAGTTCCTGGCCCACAGAAACCATAAGAGAACAAATGATTGTTGCTGATTTAAGCCACACTGGAAGAATGGGTACTAAATGTGGCGAAGGAGAAAATGTAAAATGTCTTTTTTGTCAAAGAATGTGGGAAGGTAAACATGAGCCGTATTCTGTCACAACTATGTATGTGACTTTGAACAAGTTATCACTCTGAGCCTCAACTTCCTTGTATGTAAAATGGATGTTTGGAAGCATGAAATGAGTGTATGTTAAACATTTAGCATAGGGCTTGATTAGGTTGTTAGTTTTTATTTTTATTATCTCAAAATATTTGGGTTGTCATCAATAGTATGGTCCCAAAAATCTCTACCAACAAGACTAGCACTTAACATAGGTTCAAGAGTCTTGGAAATAAGAAGTCCTTGGCTGTTCAACTCGTGCAGCCGTTTATTTGCAGGGTTCAAGTATTCTCTTTTTGCATTTTCTAATTTCTAGGCTCCCTCATTAATTGCTTCATGGCACTTGTAGAAAATAATCATAATCAAGGTTGTAGTTGCCACTAAGCGTTCAAAGATGAGGTTTTCATATATTACATATAATTCATGAACTTTGATAGCAAAACTATTTCAGATGATGTCTTCATTCCTAGAGTGGCAGTTTTGCCATGTCATTTTATTTTTGCTTGTTTACCAAATGATAGTTTTGTTCTATGTGTCAAAAGGCAAAAATAATACAAATTACAAGGATGGAAGAAGAAAGTTGATTTATTTGCTTCTATTAAAATTACTGCATATTTGTGGTCCAAAAAGCTCAACAGAAAGCCAGTGCAATAATAAGCAGCTGTGAGTAGCCGTGGCCTACTTCTTATAGCCAGAGGACACCATGAATCAGATTCATCTGATATTGTCATCTTTTGCTGTACTTGTCTGAATGACTTGAGAGGTGAATGAAATTAGATGATAACCTCTAGTAAGAAATACAAGTGCATTCAGAGCTCTGCATTTTACTGCTACTTCAAGGACATCAGCAAAGAATTGTTATCTGAGGGCATTTATAAAGGAAAGAAAATCTTTCTAAGATTTAGTGTGTCTTATCTGTATCTTACCTGTCCTTTTGTCCCTAGTGCCTTGCTTGATTCCCAGATCATAAGTGCCACTTGATTAATGTGTGCTGAACTGAATTTTAGTATCAGGTCAGAAAGTAGACTCAAAAACTTTTGAAGAATTCTCTGTAGTGCCTTGAGAATTCTTTGTAGAGCAACCACTCTGTATTCACAACTATAATTTTCTCTCTCTGTGCAGGCCTTTTCCCTGACAAAGACTATACAGTGCATTGTGGTAGAGAAGAGTAAAATCTGTAGAACAAGGGTGGTTGAGTTCAAATCAGCTTTGTAACACTGGCCGGTCACCATGTCCCTGTTCTTTATTTATCTCTTGGTTTCTTGCCACTGGGAAAAATAGCCAATCTCCACAACTTACAGGAAGAGAGGTTTGTTTTGGTTCAAATTCTAGTCCACCATCAAGCCTGCTCCAAGCCAGAAATAACAAGGCAGAGGGGCATGATGGAGGAGAGCTGCTCCACCCATGAGGGCCAAGTAGAAAGAAAAGGGAGGAGCCATGGAAAGAGACATGCTCTTCTGGGTCATGTCCTTGGTGACCTATCTCCAGCTATGTTTCACCTCCAAATTATGACAGAGAATAAGTGATTGTTCCCTTTAGTTCAATGAGCTCTGAACTTGTATGAGGATTAAATAATCCATCCATAATCCAATCACTTTCAAAAAGCCTCACCTCTGAACACATGAGGTCTTTGGGACATTCTAGAACTAAATTATAACAATCTACACAATGGAGATTATCATTGCCTACTTTTTAAGACTACTGTGAGGAATAAATTCCTAAATTTATATAAAGTAAGTAGACTGAAGCTGACATGCAATCAGTCAATCCCTGTAGTCATAATGATGGGTAACCAATATACTATTGTCCTGGGCATATGGCCCAGGGCTGTTTCTCTTTAGTAGACTCTTTTCAACCACACAGACCACTGAAGCAGAGAATTCTTTCTGCACTCATACACTCTGAGAAGGATGGCTTAAGAAAGTTTTCTTTCCATTAGAGCACAGAGTGGTGTATAGAGAATCACACTGAGAATCCTTGGAAAGTCCTGTTGTAAACAAAAACAGACTCTTACTTCATTTTGTGAGCAGACATTTACTTTTCTGCCAATTTGGTTTAAGTTAATGATAAATATATCCTGAAAACTCAACAAGCCTTTGATTTTTTTTCTCATAAATTAAGTAGTCTTATATAGCTGCTCTGCTAGAAAGAAAAACAAATTTGATTCATTTGTACCAAATGGATAAACTAGTGATCAAAATGTGAAGTGAAATAAGACACATAAGCTTAAATATCTTTCAATTTCTTTTATTGAGAAACCCAAATATAAGTAAAGAACAAAATAAAAGATAATAGGAAATTGGTAGAGATCTTTTGCAAAAGGGAAGGGACCAAGAGATGGAGGTAGGGGGAAGAAGAGAGAAGAAGATGAAAAAAGAATTAAGATGCAATTATATATATAAAAATTAAGCAATTTTATCACACTTCCCCCAAATCATCATTAGCTGCCCTCAAAAGCACCTCCCTATTTTTTTTTTT